CCTGAACTCTCAAATTCCTGCCAAAATTCAGGTAAAGGAGGGAATTAGAAGAAGGATGCTGAGGACCTTACTATCCATAGCACTAAGAGAAACAGATGAGAAATTTAAATGAGCAATTAAGAGAAATGGAGAATTGAAGACAACACTCTAAAGTGTACTTTACTATGTATATTTTAGGGGTTCATTTTGCAGTATATTTGAGGGCTTTCAGAAGAAGAGAATGGAGGAAATGGCAGGCAATATTTGAAGCCATAATAGCTAGGAATCTTCTAGAATTGAAGAAGGATGTGAGTCTTTAAGGAAATGGTCTCCCAAGAGAAATTTCAAACATCTGGGAAGGAAAGAAAGGCCTACATGGAGCAATTGGTATTCTTTACAGCACAGCTTTGAGAAGCCCTAGCTGATTATAATGATCCTTTTCTGTTTTTCACTGGAAAACACAAAAACAGAAATGTATGTGTTGTATATACTAAACCATATTTCCTGAACAAAGACACTTACAAATGACTCCTAAAAGGAGAACCTTGCGGACAACAAGACATGCAGAATCAAGATACCCAGGAAAATCTCTCTAGAAAAGGTAGTCTTATGTCAGTACCTTTGTGAAAAATAGGTGGGAAGACAGTGATTGCTTGTTTTACTATCTGAAATTCATGTTTAGAAACAGTATTTTCAAAAGAAACATCATGAATGACCCAATCTGGTAGAAAGGAAAAATTTGAATATTATTCTATGGAAAAAAATGTCAGAGGTGGGCATGGTGGTGCAGATTTATAATCCCAGAGACTTGGGAGGCTGAAACAGGAAGATCACAAATTCAAGGCCAGCTTGGACAACTTAGCAATACTCTGTCTCAAATTAAAAAGGGTTAGGGATGTAGGTCAGTGGTAGAGTGCCCCTGGATTCAGTTCCCAGAACTGGGGAGCAGGAGCATCAGTTGGAACATTTCAATAAGGATAATATTCTTTTAGTGAATAATTGCAAAGTAGGGAGGGGATAGAAGGCCATTCCTATGGAATGAGACCCTGTGAACATTGGATGCTGCTTCAAGTTCACAGAAACACTTAGCTGATGGCCTGTTAAGGGGTCAGAAAATAGATATAATGAATGCAAACAGCTACATATATTGATTCAGACCCAGAAGGTCAGTGTGCAGAATCTAGTAAGGTAAATTTGTTTTGATAAAGCTCTTTTTATCATTGTTTTGTCAAAACAGATTGCTGTGAAAGAAACTGTATAAACAATTATCCTTGAAGATTGATAGCAATAGGATTTCAATGAGCACAGATTGGAGATTCTGTTCCTATAGATGAAAATGATCATACATTGATCATACATTGATTTTCTTTGACTTTAAATAAATTCCTGGAAAGCTTGTAATAGTAGATACAGGGTAGGACTAAAAACAACAACAAACCAATAGTATATTGGATTTTGTGTCTGCTTCCTTGTGGGCATCTAGCAGTTTCAAACTGAGCATTTTGGAAGACATGTCATCCCCTGTAGAATGTTCCTTCCAGATACGGAACAATAGAAAATATTTCCCTAGCCAGTCATGGTGGTGCATATCTGCAATCCCAGTGACTCAAGACACTGAGGCAGGAGGATTGCAAGTTCGAGGCCAGCCTCAGCAACTTAGCAAGACCCTAAATAATATAGTGAGACACTTCTCAAAATTAAAAGATGGTAAAGCACCCTTGGGTTTAATCCCTAGTACCCGCAAATTTCCTCAATATGAAACCAGGTCATGAGATTATCTTATTTTCTCAGACTGGACAATGGGCAAAGTTTTCTTACCACTTATATTTTCTGTCTTTTCTCATAGATAACATATCTCCATGTTTGTAGGTAGGAGTTTCTCTAACCTGATGAAATATCATTTATGAAAAACTGAAACACGCCATCTTATTTGGTACTTGTTATAACTGGAAAAAAGATTTGAATAGCTCTAATCAGTCACTTTTGATTCTCTGAATCCTAAGGCATTTGGAACCATTGCATATGCTAATATTCTTTATATTTCTTTGGACATCAATTGAGTATGATGAAAAGAAAGTGGATAGCCATAGAAATACTTACATGAAATAAAATGCATGGAAATACATTATTTGGAACAAAAAGGTATATTACATAAAAAATAAGCCAAGAACAATCAAGGTCTTCTATGAATCTAATGTCATAGGCGTCAAAATAAGTGTTAACAGAACTAAAAGGAGATATTGTAACAAATCCATCATATTCAACAGTCCTCTAAGAAAAATTGATAACTACAAAGAATCAAAAAATCCCAACAGTGTAGACTATTTGGATAACAAATTTAGCATAATTTATGTATTTTGAAATTCTGCCTTTCAGAGAGGAAAATATATGTATTCTTAAGTGCTCAATGGATACATTTTCCAAAGTGACTATGGACTAGATCACAAAAAGAAGTTTTGCTAAATTTCAAAGGATCAGTATCATACAGGTAGTCTCTGATTAAAATGCAAATTAATTAGAAATGTACACTGAAAACATGTTTGGAAATATAAAAACTGCACTCAAATGACAGCAGATTAACTTAAAAGATGGCAATAATGATTACAAAATATAATTAAAAAACTAAAGTAAATACTTCGAAACTTTTGGTCTACCTTTAAAGTACTACCAAGAAGCAAATTTGTAATTCTAAATGTATTTATTTTAAAATAGTAAAGATAGCTGGGTGTGGTGGTTCATGCCTGCAATTCTAGCAGCTCAGGAAGCTGAGGCAGGAGGCTCTCGAGTTCAAACCCATCCTTAGGAACTTAGCAAGGCCCTGAGCAACTTAGTGAGACATTGTCTTTAAATAAAATATAAAAGGGCTGGGGATGTGGCTCTGTGGTTAAGTGTCCTTGGGTTCAATTCCTGATACCAAAAAAAGGTAAAGATTAAAAAATAAATAATTTAAGCATTCAACGTGAAAAACAAAAGGAAAAAAGTCCAGTAAAATTTAAAAAAATGATTAACGGACAAAAAAGAAACCAGAATAAATGGGGAACTCTGCCACATTTCCGGGTGTAAAGACTCGATAATATGAATTCAGTTCTTCCCAGTTTATTCTATAAATTTAGTATGATTCAAGTCCAAAATTTCAATAAGAGTTTTTTGAAATATGAAAATTAGATACTAAAATCATAGGGAAGATCAAAGATATCAGCATAGCTAAGACAATTTTAATGAAGAACAAAGTGGGGATGGGAGAGGCTAACAGACACCAACTGATTTAAAACATCACAGGCCAATAGAATAGCATTGAGAACTCAGAAGCATGACTGTATATTTATGCACACTTGATATATTGCAGAGGCACTGTTAAAATTGGAGGGGGAATCGGGGGGAAATGAATGAGATTTTTGGCTCAATTCTTTATCTATAGGCAGAAAGCAAACTTAGATCACATGTTGATACTAAGCACAAAAATAGATTCTGGGAAAATCAAAGACCTCAATGTGAAAAACAAAATTTAGACTTTAAAATGTAGGTGTAAGGAAGATTTTCTTAAACAAAACTTAAAAAGCAGGAAACATAGAGAAATATGGTGAAACTTAATTATTTTGTACCGTAGGATGCCATGAACAAAGTTAATCTACACCAAGAGAAGGGCAGGAGATAATATTTGCTGTGCACGTAACTAATAGAGGATATGCATGTAGAATATATAAAGAACTTTAATAAGAAAAGACAATCCAGTGGGGAAATGGGTAAAGGAAACATGAAAATCTAGTTAACATGAAAGAAATTCATCCTTTAGTAATCAGGGATGTGCAAATTAAAATGTACCCATCAGATTGCCCCCAAACGTGAATGTCTGATGAAACCAAGCTTTTGAGGAGAATATAGCCATATGGAAAATCCCATTCATATTGGAGAGAGAGTAAGTTGGTAAAACCACTTAGAAGAACATTTTGGTGATATATAGCAATACTGAAGATACTGCTAGGAACCAACTATTCTACATCAAGATGTATTCTGTGTAGAATCTCTTAAACAGGTATCCAAAAAGACAGGTATAAGGAAGTTCATTGCTTCATGATTTGTAATAGTGGAAAGTTGGAAACAACCGAATTGCCCACGGACAGGAGAATGTTGTTAGCATATTCAAGCAACAGAATAATACCTTTACAGCAATAAAATAACAAACTGTATATCAGCGTGGATAAATCTCCAAAACGGTGTTGAAGGCAAAATCAACTCTTAGAATGGTATGTACATTCTTAAGCATGAAGTTCTTAAATGTAAAATTTAAGAACATGCAAAATAATGATGTTAGAGATTGAATCACATGAAATGGGCGTTTTTGTAGATTAAAAAAAACAAACAGGTGAATATCAGAATCTTTAAGTTCAACATAATATTTGTGGATGCATCCATGGTAATGATGGACATGGAATTCAGTATGGCATTATCTCCTTGGGAGCAATGGTGAGGAGGCAATGGTATGGTACTGGGGGTACATGGTGGGGGGAGGTTCAGCTTTAGTTGTCATATTTAATTTCTTCAAAAAATTTTTGAAGAAAATATGGCAAATGTTAAATTGATTGAAGCAGGGTGGTGGGCACATGGATATACTCTTTCTGTATTCTTATACATTTCTGTTGAAATGTTTGATTTTTTTTAAGCAAACCAAAGTATAGATAGGGGCATAAAAATTTAATCTCATTATAAAGAAATACTTGCAAAATGATTACAGTTTTTGCTGCTTACTTGTCTGAACATAGCACTCATGAGACTTTTAGTATAACATAAAAAATTGAAAAGCATCGCCCCTTCCACACTTAGTCAAAAGCTTCAAATTTTATTTTGTTCTTTCAGCATTGGTAAGATCATCATCTCAAACACCATTCATTAGTGCCTCTCTTTTGCTTGCTCTTGTTTGGTGGTGGTCAGATTCTATCTGCCATGTTCTAGGAAATCTGGTGATGATATTCAGTTTTCTTTCTTTTTTTCCTTCCCTCCTTTTTTTTATATGATGCCAACAGGAATCTGCAAGCAGAATATGATCGTCTAAAGCAACAACATGAACATAAAGGCCTGTCCCCACTGCCGTCTCCTCCAGAAATGATGCCCACCTCTCCACAGAGTCCTCGGGATGCTGAGCTCATTGCTGAGGCCAAGCTACTACGTCAACACAAAGGCCGCCTGGAAGCCAGGATGCAAATCCTGGAAGATCATAATAAACAGCTGGAGTCACAGTTACACAGGCTGAGGCAGCTGCTGGAGCAAGTGAGACCCATATCTCTCTAATATGAGATATTTGCAAACATTCATTTTTTCCCTCTTAAGCAAAACTAAAAAACAGAATTCAGAGTTCTTGTAAGTATAAACATCAATTCTTTAGTGCTTAGAATGTGCCCAGCAAAATGCTAGGTGTCAAAGGATATAAAAAGGGGAAAACAAGTGTGCATTTTTATATAAGATATTTCCTGCCAAAATCTTTTTTATTAGACCAATTTGAAAGGCATCTTTGAAAAAAACAATTCCAAAATTTACCTCTTGAAATGGAACTCTCTTCTTTGAAATTAGTTATAGTTTCTAATATACCTTTGGACTTTTCTTCTGATCCTTAACACATAAATTTTTAAGTTTCCATTAAAAACCTAACAAGTTACTGCACTATCACAGACTTTGTCCAGACATGGTGCTGGCTTTTGAGAATTTTAAATTCTCTGTTGTATTTCTTAATACTTCCCCCAAATATGAATTTTCCATTGCATTATTAAGATCTTGTGTGGTCTCAGCATTCTCACATAGCTTTCCAAATATTTTGGTCTTTTAGTCTAATGATAAATATCTTGCTCTACTGAACCCCTATTTTTTTCCTCATTTTTTATGAGGGGGCACAGTTGAGATACAAAGATAAAATCCACAGATTATATCAACAGTAAAATATCCCAAATTCAATAACCTTTGGGAGATTTCTAAGTAGAATGGGCCAAAATTCCTGGTCCTGAGTTCTGTAACATTTTATTTTATACATTCATTTATTATTTAAAAAATTCTGTTTTCTTTTTGATGCCTTAGCCCCAGGCAGAGGCCAAGGTGAATGGTACCACAGTATCTTCTCCTTCGACCTCTCTACAGAGGTCAGATAGCAGTCAGCCTATGCTGCTCCGAGTGGTTGGCAGTCAAACTTCAGAATCTATGGGTAAGTATCTTAACTACTCCTAGATTTTGTTATCTCTTAAGATCTGGGAGTGGTGAAATGTTTGCAAATAATTCAAATCATTAGCTAGATTATTTTACATTTCTGGATGGGGAATTTTCACAAGTGCCTTAAGGGATGTGATAATCCTAGTCTTCAAAGAACTAGCCTTCAATTATTCAGGATAATCAGGGGAGCATTACAGTTTATTCATTTTGGAGACCAGGGAATGCTTTATGACAAGTTGATATTTTTAAAGGGTTCTAAAAAATTGATTAGTGTGCCGATCAGCATTTTACCACCATGACAAAAATACCCAACAAGAATAACTTGGAGAAGGAAAAACTTAATTTGGAGCTTATGCTTTCAAAGGTATCAGTTCATGGTTGGCCAATTCTACTTATCTGAGCCTGAGGTAAACCAGAATATCATAGCAGAAGAAAACTGCACAGTTTATAGCAGCTGGGAAGCAGAGAGAGAGAGGTGCTAAGGACAAAATATAAACCAAGCTGGGCACAGTGGTGCACACCTGTAATCCCAGCTACTCGGGAGGCTGAGGCAGGAGGATCCGGAGTTCAAAGCCAGCCTCAGCAATTTAGCAAGGCGCTAAGCAACTCAATGAGACCTTGTATCCAATAAAATTAGGGCTAGGGATGTGGCTCAGTGGTAAATGCCCATGAGTTCAATCTGTGGTACCCAAAAAGAAAATATATATATATCTCACAAAGGCATGCCACCAATTACCTATTTTCTCCAGCCATGAATTATCTCCCTATAGTTACCCACCAGTACAGTATTCCTTTTAAATTGTTAATCCATCAAGTGGATTAATCTGCTGATTAGGTTATAGCTCTCATAATTTAATCATTTCACCTCTGAATACTCCTGCGTTGTCTCATATATGAGCTTTCAGGGGATACCTCACATCCAGACCATAACAAGTACTAATCAAACATACCCTGAGGTAAGAATAGTGTAAGGGAGAGTGTGGAAATTAGGCCCAATGGTGAGGAAATAGCCAGTAATCCAATTAAGTAGGAAAATAAGGTCCAATCAGGAAGAACAAGGAAATAAGGCTTCAGGAGAAGGCTGTAAGTTCATTATAGTGAAACGGACATTGAACTGAGGTGTTCAACTGATTTTGATGTCAGGGAGCCACTAAAAATAACTTAGCAAACTAAAAAAAAAGATTTAAGAAAAAAATTCTTAAAAGTTGTGTGCTAGCCCCTGTATTTGACCCAAAGTAAAACTTTTTATCAATGAAAAGACCAATTAGGAGGCAGTTGCTAAGACCAAGGAATGTGAATTGTGAGTGACTGCATTTGAGCAATGCGTCTACATATGAAATTGTACCATGAAAATAGAATGCCCAGGGCTGGGCAACTGACTGTAAAATATAGGGAAGGAAATAAGGTGAGAAGATAGTAAAACCTGATTTTGGACATAATATTTTTGAGGAGCTATCGGGTCTTCTGTGTCATGTCCAGAAAGAAGTTTAAAATACAGGTCTATCCCAGATGGAAGAGGGCAGACTGGGGAGATTTGAGAGTGAATTCCATTAAACTGATTGCTAAAGAGTATGGGATGAGAAATAGATGGCAAATGTAGTCAGATACAATGCTTTGGGGAAGACCTCTATTTGGGTGATAGGAAGCTGAAGGACTGGGGTATAGGAATATGTTCAAGGAAGGTATGATAGAAAGCCCAATGGAGGGCTAGGGTTTGTGGCTCAGTGCTAGAGCATTTGCCTAGCATGTGTGAGGCACAGGGTTTGAGTCTCAGCACCACATAAAGATAAATAAATAAAATAAAGGTTCATCAACAACTAATATCTATATATCTATATCTATCTATATATGTATTTTTTTTAAAAAAAAAAAAGCTCAATGGAAATGAGGATAACTCATAGCCTAGTGGGTCACTGGAAATGCACTGGCCACTTTGGAAAATATTTTCAGCCAAGAGAAGGGAAGTTGGAACTTCTGTTCTTTCAATGAAATTAAAAGATAAGTTCTTCTTAAAAATTAGGAAAGATAGTAGATATCCTATGTGCATATATGATTGTATGACCAATGTAATTCTACGTCATGTACAACCAAAAGAATCAGAAGTCATATTCCATATATGTATAATATGTCAAAATACATTTGACTAACATGTATAACTAATAAAAACAAATTTTTAAAAAATGAATGAGAACTAAGGAAAATGACTACACTTTGGGGGCATTACCAGGTAGGTAAAAATGAGATGAGTTTGTGGAGGAAATGGTCAGTGTGGTCTGGTGACATTCTTCAGCAAGGTTCTCTGCCTAGGACTAATTCCTAAGAAATCTGGAATTGATGAGGCATAAACAATAAATGAAGGTCAAAATGAGCAAGGCACGTTACAGTGGTAATAAATGGCTGTAACTGGGGTTGATAGCCAGTTGCTCCTTGGTTTTTCCTGCTGTGCTAGGTTGGACATTAGTGTTTTATGAACACCACAAATATTTGACTGATTGTCTTCATTTCTCCAAGTGAGCCTGAGTCAGTGGCACGTTCTAGCTTCCTTTTCCCTGGGTCCTAAACTAGTTATATTTGACTCCAAATAATACTTCACAGAGCCAGGCATAATGGTGTTCATCTGTATGCCCAACTATTGGGAAGACTGGAGTGGGAGGATTAAACATCCCCTCCTCACCTCCCACAAATAAGTATTACCTCACAGAAGAGACCTGTGACTCCTTGATTCCTCTTCACACTTAAAGCTCTTTCACCTATGGTATGATGGTGTGTTCAGACTTGAGATCTTCCAAAGGAGAATCTTTCCTTCTAAAGAGAAGGAAAATGCCTAAATTGATAGGACAGAAAGGAAAAGTCAAAGATATGCATGAAATTTATGGTGAAACATTGGGAGACCTTGGTCAAGAAAATTTGAAATTAGACATCATGGAAGTAAAATGATTTCAAGCAATTTCTACTTTTTAGGATGTAGCTTCCCAGTAAGCTGCTGAAGGTTCCTGAATATCATTGAGGGTTTAAGGGTGTGGTTCATAAGGCCAGGGTTGTGGGGCTCATCAGCAGGGTGGTGAGACCCTTACGATGATGATGGGAAAGATGTCAAGGAGGGTAGATAAGAGTGCTAAGTGGTGAGCATTTCTGAAGAAGTAGAGTGGGTGATTGAAGTGGGTGATGTTCAAGAATCTGAAGCCATAAGGAGAGGCACGTCCTCCTCTGGAGTAGTCAAAATGTTGTAAGATAGCCACATTTCAGTTGTTTGGAAAAGGAAGGGAATATGTTTGAGGTTGTTTTCCTGACTTTACTACACCTCAGTGATTTAGGGCAGTCTCTGTGTCGGATTCTCTTTCTCCACGTGAGATCTGAATACAGCTAATGGACTGTTGGGACTATAAATGATAGCACAGTGCATGAAAAAATATTGCAAGCCTTTGAAAAGTCTATAAATTCTGAAAACAACTGAGCTTTAGTGCCTCTGTTGTTATTTCCTACTTCAGGATTTTCCTTTTTTTTTTGAAGTAAGTAAAGCATGTGAAATTAAGTCGCATATTTTAGCAGTGAGATTCAGAGCCCTGGGTGCTTAGGAGCATTAATTATTTAGGTTGTCAACACTGATGAAAAGGCAGCATTCCTGTTAAAGCACCCAAATGAAAGTACACATCAGGCCGTGTTCCTGATGATTTGTGGAAATAAGATTGTGGCAGAATTGAATACAGGGATAGAAGTGCTATATTCCAGTGGCTATGTTAAGCTAAGAGATAACTTGCCAATGATAAGATGGATCGGCTATGTTGTTAAAGTTTGTTCTTTGAAAGAAAAGACTGAATTCAAAGGTGCTTTTTCTTTTTCTTTTTTCTGAACTGCATAGGCAAGTTTGTTTTAGAAGGGGAAAAGGATTATCATTTTGAAAGAGGCTTGCAGGTGTTTAAATAAATGCAATGTGTGTCCTCATGATTTGAAGGTTTGAGATGTGATAAGGCTGGGATCTGCTGAGCCATATTCTAGAGAGAAAATGGCATTCTTTATATATACAACCCCAATCATTTTCTTTTAACTGAAATATGGAAGAAGTCATACCAGGTGATCTGTCTAAAGAGTTGGAGTACAGTCAGCCCTCCCTACCCAGTAGGTTCTGCATTCATGGATTTAATCAACCACAGTTAGAAAGTGTGGGGGTTGGAATTCACCTGTACTGAACATATACAAACTTTTTCCTGCCATTGTTCCCTAAACATACAATATAACACCTGTTTACATAGCACTTACGCTGTCTTAGGTATTATAAGTGATCCGAAGTTGATTTAGATTATACAAAAGGAGGTATGTAGGTTACATGCAAATACTATGCCATTTTATATATAAAAGACGTGAGCATCATAGATTTGTTGATAACTGCAAGGATCCTGGAATGAATCCTCCAAAATTATGAGGGACAAGGGACAACTGTACTTCCTCAAACCATGAAATGCTTATCACCAATAAATCTCTGTGTACCCTATGTGTTCTATATAGCTTTTACTGGGATAGTATGTTAATGAAGTGCACACTCTATTGGAGGAAACAAAGAAAGAAATAGAAATTAACAAAGTAGGTTAGCCAACTTTCCATTGCTATGACCAGAATACCTAACAAGAAAAATTTTAGAGAAGGAAAAGTTGAGTTGGATGTATGGTTTCAGAGGTTCAGTCTATAGTAGAACAACCCCAAGGCAGAAACGTGACTGTGGAAGGGCATGGCAGGGGAAAGCTGCCCAGCTCATGGCAGCCAGGAAATTGGGACAAGTTATGTCTCCAAGGACACACCTCCAGTGACCTACTTCAGCCACACCTCACCAGCCTGTAGTTACCATCCAGTAGTCTGCTCAAACCATTAATCCATGAAATGGTTTACTCTGCTGATGAGGTCACAGCTCTCAAAAATCCAATCTTTTCACCTCTGAACATTGTCACATTGCCTAACACATGAGTTTTGAGGAGACATTCCTAGATCCAAACCATACACAAG